TAAGAGCAATGGTCATGCTCTCTATTGGATGGTCAAGTACCTGATTCAAGGCTCTCTCTTTCCCTCCCTCCCACATTTTCTCTCTCTCTCTCTCTCTCTATATATATATGTATATATACATATGTGCATATATATGTATATTTGAGCACATGTGTTCTCTCTCTGCTTTTTTTTTTTGAGACAGAGTCACACTGTGTCTCCCAGACAGGAGTGCAGTGGCGCGATCTCGGCTCACTGCAAGCTCCACCTCCCGGGTTCACGCCATTCTTCTGCCTCAGCCTCCCTAGTACCTGGGACTACAGGCACCCGTCACCACGCCCGGCTAATTTTTTGTGTTTTTAGTAGAGACAGGGTTTCACCGTGTTAGCTAGGATGGTCTCGATCTCCTGACCTCGTGATCCACCTGCCTCTGTCTCCCAAAGTGCCGGGATTACAGGCGTGAGCCACCACGCCTGGCCGCTTTTTTTTTTTTTCGAGATGGAGTCTCGCTCTATCACTCAGGCTGGAGTGCAATGGCACGATCTCAGCTCACTGCAACCTCTGCCTCCCGGGGTCAATCGATTCTCATGCCTCAACCTCCCAAGTAGCTGGAATTACAGGCACATGCCATCATGCCTGGCTAATTTTTGTATTTTTAGTAGAGATGGGATTTCACCATGTTGGCCAGGCTGGTCTTGAACTCCTGACTTCAAGTGATCTCCCTGCCTCGTCCTCCCAAAGTGCTGGAATTACAGGTGTGAGCCACCGTGGCCAGCGCCTGGCTGATTGAAAACAATTTTTTTTGTAGAGACAGGGTCTTGCTCTGTTGCCCAGGCTGGTCTCAAACTCCTGGGCTCAAGTGATCATCCCACCTCAGCCTCCTAGAGTGCTGGGATTACAGGCATGATGCTTTTATCTTTAAGGTAAATACAAAGCTGTCATCTGGTACCCATATCATTTGTGCATGCACTTTGTTTCATCTTAACTAATTAGATCAGAATTACTAAATAAATAGTTTGAGAAAGTCTATATATCTTTTTACCAAACTTCATAAGGTGCCATTGCACTCCAGCCTGGGCAACAGGAGTGAAACTCCGTCTCAAAAAACAAACAAACAAACAAAAAACATGGTTATTCACCTATCAGACTGTGAGGGAAGGAGAAAAGCTTCTGTGTTGTTTGGCTTCTTTTTATGATGACATCTGTGATATTCCTTTTTTGGAGGAAGTATGCTTACTGACTTAAAACATTGTACATACAACATTATATTTTCCTGAAACATTCCAGCAGTACCAAAGGTCATAGAGTTGAAAAGTAAAATTCCCCTTTTCAGCTCCTCACTTTCCCCATCCTAGTCCTCTCCCTAGAGGTAGACACTAATAGACAGTTCAGAATATGTCTATAATTTGCATGTATGTTGGGCTATATTACTTTTTTTAAAAAATTGAGATACGGGCTCGGTGTCACTCAGGCTGGAGTGCAGCAATGTGAACACAGCTCACTGCAGCCTCGACTCTGAGCTCAAGTGGTCCTCCTGCCTCAGTCTCCCATGTAGCCCAGAGCACAGGTGCATGCTACCATGCCTAAATAATTTTTGGATTTTTTTGTAGAGACAGAGGGTCTCACTTTGTTGCCCTGACTGATCTTGAACTCCTTGGCTGAAGCAGTCTTACCCGCTTGGCCTCCCAAGGTGCTGGGATTACAGGCAGGAGCAACTGCACCCAGCCAGGTTGTAATTTTTAATTAGCAAAACCAATATGAAGTTTCTATTTTGGAAAAAAAGTATATGCTGACCCCTAGTGGTCCTCATTAAGTAGCACATAATTTGTTTTGAAATAACATTTTAATTATTTTTCCTTTTATTAACATTCATTTTAATGCTGAATTTACTCCCGTGCCATAAGTTTTTGTTTCTTCAGTTTCTTCTGGGATATCTTTTTCTTCTGGGCAACCTCCTCTTCTGGTTTAGGAACAATCTGTTCCTTTTCAGTAAGGATCATCTCAGTGTGGAAGGGAGAGCACATGTATGGGTTAATTCGACAATGAGCTCTGTAGGTCCGGCGGTGCATCTCAGGTGCGTTGTTCACTTGGATATGCTCAATGACCAGAGAATCTAAATCTAGATTCTTAAGTTCAGCATTACGGTCTGCGTTTTTAAGCATGTGCAGTAAAAATTCAGCACTCTTTTTGGGCCACCGGCCTTCTGTCCAGTCCCACTGCTTGGCCTGCGCACACCTGCCAACTCCACCATTGTGACGTTGGAATGGTATGCACTGTTTCTGTAAAGTGACATCTTTCAGATACTTGGTGGCTTTTCGTATATGCATACGCTTGATGGCCTGAGCGGTTTCACGAGTGTTCTTAAAGTGAACAGGAAGATTGGAACCTCTTGATTTCCATGATTTCATGGGGTTCTCCAGGTCAAGTGA